GAGAGAACTTTACTGGAGGAGATATAGAAAAAGGTGGGACACATGCAATCATTTATCAGAGTCAACTTTTAGCAATTAGAATCAGCAAAGGCAAAAAGAAAACAAGACATGTTTTCCTATGGATTTTTCCAGGACAAAAGAAGCTAAAAGATTTTTTTTGATAAGGAAGGAAGCTAAAAGATTCATTGTTTAGCTGGATGGTATGCCAGTAGCACATAAGAAAACAAAACTTTAAACAAGGAGAAGATTAGCAACAGTGAACCTAGGAAAAATAGATCCCTAAATCTCAATTAAAAAAAGAACATAAATTACCAGGTACATAGGGTAAAGGAACAGCATGATTCCAGGCCCAAGTTTGAGCCTCACTACCATTGCTGTTGAACTGCCGGTCCAACCAAGGATTGCCAGGCAACTGATGGGCTTGACCTGCATAGTTTCCTTGAAAGAGATGATTATGGTTACGTGCTGCGACGTTATCTGGACCACTAGCACCAGATCTGTTACTCATACTTCTCGGTGCTCCATCTCCAATGAATGATGATGAATTGCCTCCATAATCTGGTGGTGTAAATGATGCAGCATCAATTAAGACATCATATTCGTGTGCCCTTGTAATCACTGGAGCAACAGAAGAACTGGAGCCTGCCAAAGCATGATGATATTGAAGATTCACAGGGATTCCTTCAGCATTCTTTCTCTTAAATGAGCTTCCCATATCGTCCATGTAACGATTGTTCCTTCCATAGCTGTCTGAATTCATTCCAAGGATGTTGTGAGAGCTTGATTGAAGCTGATCATGTGGCCCGTGATTTATTGGAATGGGGAAATCTCTAGAAGCAGATGGAACAGCCATGTAGGGATTGTAGTGATTTGACGAAGCAGAAATGGCAAGGTCAAGATTGGTGGTTGGATGCTGATGTTGAACCGCATTGTACTGTGTCACCCCATGCTGATGGTCTGATAGATGGTGCAAATAGATATTACCAGCATTTCCAGGAGCTGGTATTACTGTGTGAACATTAGGCTGTGGTAAAGCCGCTAAGCTCCCATAAAATATGCAAGGCTCGGAATGAAAGAACTCTTGACCTTGCTGATCTGCTTCCAAATCAAATATATAATTACCGTGTGACATACTCCTTTGGCCTATCTTGGTGGTTTACTATTTTGTTGGGTGATGCCTGATTGGAGGAGAACAAGCTATCAGACGTACTGTAAATATCATTGACTAAAGCATTGCATAAACTTCATAGATGGCCAGCTGAAAATCATTTCTTTAGAACAGAGTGACAATCATTTCTTTAGAACACTGACATTTAGATCCATGGATGCTTATTACTTCAATATCTTTCCCTAAGTTCATCTCAGTAAGTGAAGTTCAATATTGAATCTAAAACTGAAGCAGTTCTTATTCAAGATATTTAGGATTCACATCTTCAATTCAGAAAATTGAGCTCGGCTAACACATCATCATCTCAATATAACACTAATGACGCTAGATAGAAGAGCATGGAGGTCGAGGATTAGGGTAAAAGGTTAGTAGGTAATCGAGCGATTTTCCTCCTTGTGGGACAGCATGGTTCTAGTTTAGAGCACCCTATCTGCTCCCTCTTCTCTTTATTAGTTTTATTATTATTATTCTACTATTATCTTATTCTTAAATTTTATTACTATTGTTGTTTCTTTTACTTTGGTTATCTTTACTATTTTTGCTGTCAATACTTTTGTTTCTTCAATATTTCTATCATGGCTTTTTACTCTTGTATTTTTTCAAACCTGTTTTGGAAACGCTTTTCTTGAGCCGAGGGTCTATCGGAAACAGTCTCTCTACCTCACACAAGGTAGGGTTAAGGTCTGTCTACAACTCACCCTCCCCAGACCTCGCTCATGGGATCACACTGGGTAATGTTGTTATTTTTGTTTACTATCCAAAATAAAGCCACATAGCTCATTGTGTTTTTTCTACTGTAGTTATATGTAGTAAAAGCAACCAAACCAAACAGAAATAGAAACAAGAATGTAATATATGGCATGCGGAGACTTGGCAAGCTCTTCTTTCTGATTCGGAAACCAAACATGTCAACCAATTATTATTTTTATCAGTAACACCTCAACCAATTATTGTCGAATTCACTACTAATGAAGGTATATCTTCATGATGGCAAACCAAATTGCACAGAAAAATATTGGACCCATCATCCATCTTCAGATTGAGCAAACAGGCTGGGATAGAGAGATCACTTTATGTAGCAGAAACACAAAGATGAAGATAAATAATCATCCTAACTTCACCTGTCCCACAAATCAAGTAGAACATCAGTTCTGGCAGAGAGCAGCCATATCACCGAAGATATAGAGATCTGCATTCTGGTGGTAGATATTAAGGCAGGGCAGTGACACTGTTACACAATGCCCAATGCCCCAGAAAACAATGAACTCAGCAGGATACTAATGTAGAAGTTACATTAAGGGGTAAAGGTGGAGGGTGTGGGTTTCACTGATGGAAGACACTGATATACACCATAAATACGATGATGTCTTAAAGTCGCCACAAGTAAAGTACGACTAAACAAATAAAACAGATTGGTAAGGAGAAGCCGTAAAGCAGTAGGGTTTTGTTTCATTAGCAGTTTAGCACAATGGAGTCTTTTCTGTTGCAATAGAAAAGCATTAGAGGGCCAAATATTTTCGATTTTATTGAGTCTCAACATGGCTTTAGCAAAACGGAGTCTTCTGCAGTTTTCAACCAAAAGCACCTTTGTAAAATAAAACCAACTAGAAGCCATTTGCAGCTAGCATACCAAAGATTTCACTAGGCACCGTTCTACCAAAATTAGAGTACGGATCTTATATGTATTCATAAACTCTTACACAATTGAAATAATAGAACCAATAACCTTTTAACAAAAAGGAAAAGAACTCATAACCACAGTGATGTCATAGCTTTACCTCCAAACAACAAAGTGATTTTAGAAATCAGCAATAACTTCCCAACCAACTCCCAGGAAATAGAAATTAATGCCATCCTTAAACAGAGATGAGGACTTATCAGCAACCCATGCATCCATGGCCAAAAAATAATAACATCAAACAGTGACTCACACAGATAATACTTTACTGATTGACGAGACGCGAGGCGGTGTTAATGCGAGATTGGAGGTTTGAAGACAGACCCTGCAGTTTAAAGGTTTCAAGTTGAGCAGGACCAAGACAGAATACTTAGAGTGCAAGTTCAGTGATGGGACCAATGAAGCGGACGTGAACGTGAGGCTTGATACACAAGTCATCTCTAAGAGAGTTAGTTTCAAGTACCTGGGGTCTATTATCCAAGGTAATGGGAGATTGACGAGGATGTTACACATCGTATTGGAGCGGGATAGGTGAAATGAAGGCTCGCATCCGGTGTTTTATGAGATAAGAATGTGCCACCCAAACTTAAAGGCAAGTTCTGCAGAGTGGTTGTTAGACCGACTCTGTTGTATGGGGCAAAGTGTTGGCCAGTCAAGAACTCAAGAACTCCCATGTCCAGAAGATGAAAGTAACAGAAATGAGAAAGTTAAGATGAATGTGAGGGCACACCAAGATTGATAAGATTAGAAATAAAGATGTTTGGGTCAGGGTAGGAGTGACCTCGATGGAGGACAAGATGCGAGAAGCAAGGCTTAGATGGTTTAGGCATGTAAAGAGGAGAAGCACAGATGCACCAGTAAGGAGCTGTTAGAGATTGGCCTTGGTGGGTCTGAAGAGAGGTAGAGGTAGGCTAAAGAAGTATTGGAGAGAGGTAATTAGGCAGGATATGGCGTTGCTTTAGCTTTCCGAGGACATGACCCCTGATAGGAAGATGTGAAGGTTGAGAATTAAGGTAGAAGGCTAGTAGGTAGTCGAGAGTGTTTTTTTACTCATACCAGTAGTATCAGTGTTAGTCTTGTATTATATTACTGTTAGATTTCTATAACTACATGATGTTCCTTTCGCCTCGTTTTCTTACTATCTTGTTGTTGCTACTGCTTGATGCTACTTCTTTCTTTGAATCTTTCTTCTTTGAATCTTTTCTTGAGTCGGGGGTCTATCGAAAATAGCCTCTCTACCTTCAAGGTAAGGGTAAGGTCTGCGTACACACTACCCTCCCCAGATCCCTTCACACTACCCACTTGAGAAATTATACTAGGTTTTTTCTTGTTGTTGTTGTTGTTGTTGTTGTTGTGACTCACAAACAACTTCAATTTACTAGAACTAGTAAAGATATATCGTCTGTATAACCTTACTAAAAAAAAGGAATTAGCTAAATATTTCAGATGGATATTTTGATCAAACCATGTTTCCGCCTGTTTCAGCCAAACAGAAGACGAAGAAAAGGAATGTACAATTACATCGGTGTCCACTGCCTGATCATCATCATACAACATAGATGAAAAAAGCTCTCCTACTTTTAGCAACTAATGACCAAACCTCTTTCCCTTAAAACCATTCTAAATTATGTATCTAAATATGTTAAAATGCTGACGTCTCCTTCCTTGTAGCTTCCTTCCTTGTAGCTTCCTGGTATATTAAATAAAGGCACACAGACAGAACACCAATTTTTCTTTTTTGGATATATCTTTCAGATTTGATACTTCTGACCAATCTGACAAACCAAATAAAGCTTCACACACTAACAGTTGTTGAAAAGTCACCTCTGTTTTGAATTAACATTCCTTCACAGGAATTTTCCTATAGCCATTTAAGAAAACATATAAAAGTCTCGTCATCTACAGCAGTCCATGTGTCCTTATTTTTATTTTTGGTAAGTAAAATGAGTACCTATGTAGGCCGTGTGTCCTTAATGATAGCTATCATAGAATGCAGAAGAGACTTCTATCCGCACATATTGCCGAATAGAAATTCCTTTTCCAATAAACAGACAAAATTCACATTCACATAAAGAGAAAAAACCGAGAATCATAGAGATGACGATGAAAACTTGGTATATAATCACAACCGTTTGACTAACAATAAAAATCAATTCCAAAGAGTAGATAACAGGTCCAATTAGAAACCGAAAAAGAGAAGACCCGCCTTGCAGAAATACTTATTCCCAGTTTTAAAGACTCAAAAAATACAATCTTCTATGTGATGATTGACAAACGACTCATGGTTAAAGATGAGTAGCCTCCAACTGATATTAAAGATGAAACTCAAATATATCTTACTAGTTAATTTGCTCGCGCTTCGTGCGGTTAGATATATATATATTTTTTTTTTTTTTTTTTAAATCTTGTTGCTATAGAAGGGAATAAAAAATTTATAATACCAAAATCAATGAGTAAACATACTTGTAAGACATACACATGAAAAAACTGAAAATCAAATGAATAAGGATATTAAAAAAAGTCGATCCTGTGAAGAGCAGCCCGATGCACGAAGCATCCTGCATTCAATCATGTGAATATCCGTGCATGAATTATTAGTAACCTTTTTCTGTTTTGTTCTTTTTACCATCTAAATGAAAACAATATAAAATGGGTAAATCACAATACTACGCTCTATCTCCGCGCTAAACACCAAACCAAGAAAATTCCGCTCCTGTTATCCATAGATGGAGTAAAAAGTTAGTTTTTTCCTTTACCATAAATTTCTATACATTAATAATGTCTAACATAGTTAATTTTTTAGAAAATATGTTAGCATATTTTTATTTTTGGGGGAACCATCCAAAAAACCAGACATCACAATATTAATCTTTGCACTAAACCCCAAACAAAGAAAATATAATTTATTGTTACAAATAAACATTTTCTCCTTTAACATGAATTTTGATATATCAAAAAACATCTAAGTAATAGACTTTATTTGTTAGCGATATTTTTCATTTTATGTTTTAACCAAAGTAAATTTTTACCATTGAATAAAAACGCGTTCGTTCATTACAGTGATATCAACCAATGAAAACTAACAACTAAATTCTTTCTTATTTGCAATGTTTAGATACATTGATGTAGACCGGGATTTAGTATCAACTATCAATATGTTGGAGCAAATGAGAAGGTACCTAATGAACAAAAATATCAAGATCTTCCATTTCTCTATGCATGTACACTTACCAGCTTTAAGAAAACTACTTTGAGCTATAGAACTTACCCACCTCCACCCCACCAACCCTACTTTCCTACCTCTCAAATACCAATGTCGAAACCGCCAATGCCAACCAAGAAGAGCTATCCACTACTCCACCATCCCTAGCAAACATCTGTCATAGTATGATACTATGATTCCTGCACCAAAGCCCGCACTGTTATCTGTTCTCTTGCTTCCGTTCTTTCCTTGAATTATCCTTTTTAATTCTTCAGTTGAAACTCATGAATTCTCCTTCCACAGATCTTCTAGCTTTTCTGGCAGCCTCACTCAGACGCCAGCGTCAGCCATCTCTGCAGTTGGCTTTAGGACACCTTCCAATCATCCAGCCTGACTTACATCTTGTCTTCTTGCCAGTCATTACCCGGGTATATATATCTTTCAAGAAGTTGTCCTTCATAAACCATTGGCAGGATTAAAAGCTGTTGTCTTGTACTTATTTTCCCACATAATTGTTATACATAATGGTCAGTTATGGTATACGTCCCGACCTTTCACATTCTAACATCCTAGAGTTTCGCATTCTAGCATTAATCATGAAACAAAAGAAAGAGGCTTTTTTGGTAAAATGAGAGAAAAATGTGAAAAAATGACAAAAAAGATAATAGCCATTCTGGTCTAAGAGAGATGCCATGTCAGCACTCTTGAATTGCAACCACCATGAACAAGCTGGTTTTTAGTTATGACCACCAGTCCTAAAGTCCAGGTAGCTAACTTTGCAAGTTTGGCATTTCTTGTAGAGTTACAAAATAACAATATTTAGAGAAAGTCAGACAGAAAAAGAAAGAAGATATAAAGAGAAAGAATAGAGAGCAGAAAATAATTAATTGCTCTCCTATCTGATGCAAAGCAGCAGGCAATCTAGGACATATCTTCACCGAGATTAGAATGAATATTTCTCTTAAACAAGACAGGAGGAGCTGTTTGTCACCTATACGTGGTACATTTCTTCAGTAAACACCTATCAACCGTCATAGAGCTAGAACATGAAGTCAAAACGTACTCTTGCTTCTGAACCTGCTTTAAGTAACTTAAAGAACCTTTAGGACAAGGAGTAGCCAAGGCAAAGATCTAACCAAGTTAAAAGAAACCCAATTTCTTAAAACCTAATACATCAACGTACACCCAAATAACCCCGGATACTTTTTTTATACACCTGGATAAAATCTTGAATTTAGTTTAGAAAAACAGCCAAATCCTACATTAGGACTTCAGGATTAAATCATCTCATGTGTGGCTAAGACCACGAGGGCACAAGTTCAAGCATGCAAGTTAGCTGCATGCATAAGACCAAATGTCCAACCCTTCTTCGGATCCCACAAATGTTGGAAGCTTAGTACACTAGGCTTCCCTCCTTATGTTTAGCTAATAGAGGAGTGGGAAAGACAAATTACACAGATTTTAATCAACTACTTCAATTGGTTGTCAAAAAACACTACCCAGAAACTACATGAATTATTCAAAAATCTCCAAACCAACTCAGTGAAGGAATGTATATAAACAAATAATAAATCACAAGACCTCGACTATAGCCAAACCCCATCACAGAAAAACCAAGTAACGCGGGCATACATCCAAATAGAAACATAGAAAACATAATCTTTTAACATTATAAAGGTCAATGTAACATACAACTTATACACAATCACATGCAATTCATGGATGAAAAAAGGGAAAAAATATGGAAAATCGAAGCCTGACCTTTTTGTCATCCAAATATCGACTCCTTTCCCAGTTGTGGCCTTCAAATATAACTCAGAAATTTCAGATAAATTAACTGCAGTGGGAGACCCCTACATAATAAATAAAAAACAATAAAACCTCAAAATTTGGATTAGATATCAAAATGGTGATCAACAATCATCAAATTGAAATTTTAACAAAACCCCACAAAATATTTGCTTCCTATTGGACCCTTTTGCATGTTAAGAACAAGAAAACAAAGAAATAACTATACACTACCAATTTGAAAATTTCATGTAATTAAAGATAATAACTAAAACTTTTAATCAAATGGGTAACGAAAACTAACCAAATTGAGGTTGATCAAGGCGATCGATAGATCCCAGAGGGAGAATGGAAAAGAGAGGTTTCAATGGAGAAAGTGGAAATTATTTACGGTTAACTGCTAATTGGCTGTTTGATTCTCATATTAATTGGCCGCGTTATTTATTTTTGGAGTTTATGTTGTCATCCTTAACAAGACAAGATAAGGCATTCGAGGGTATTTGAGTAATTGCGCTCATGTAAAATTCATTACTAGTAGTACTACTAAAGTCCAACTCGTGAAAAACAGTTTCAACAAAATCTGAGAGAGAAAGTATTTGGACAATATTTGACTTGACGTTAAGAAATAACTTACGGCTAATTTGGTTCGGGACAAAGTTATTCTGAAATGATTATAATACCGTATTTAATATGAGATAAATAATATTAAAATTTTAGTACTTATATTGCTATTAAAATCTAAAATTTTATGTTAAAATTATTATTTTTAATCCCAGCCGTCAAACGATCCCTTAGAAATTAAAATTAATGAAGCATATTTAGAAGTTAGCATTTAGACAAACATTTATTTATTTACTTAGGAAAAGGCATGAAGAGTCGTGACTAGAAACTAATATTTCACATAAAATACCTAGAAATCAAACGATGAGTAATATTTACTTGAAGTTCAAAAGCTAAAATTCACTATTCAAGATATGAATTTAATAATACCAAAGTATTTTTTCATGTCTAATGGTGCACTTAAAATCACTAGAAATCCATATACACGTGAAAAATGGTAAGGTAGCCTACAAAGCTCAATTAATACCCTATAATTGATTGGTTTGGCAATTGGCATTATTTAACGAATTAACAATTCGGCTTATAATACTGACAGTTTAATCAATAAACAATATTCTTCTGAGTGTTAAAATATCTTTATTTCCATTAACACTATACATACTCATGTAATATATATTAAAAATTAAAAATCTAATGGAGAAAGTTGATCAATTTATTAGTAAAAAATTATTACATCCTAAGATTTGAACTTGTAAAATCACGATTGAAATTGTAATATTTAAACTATTTTTACTGGTGACGCACTCAAGGCAGGCCTAATGGTCAATAAAAATAGGTGCAAACCCTAAATTTCAGTGTTTAAATTCCAGCATAATTACATGATTTCTTTTCATCGATCTAAACTTTAATAGATAGAATTATTCGATATATAACGAAGAAAGATTGTAAAAACTGATAAAATAACCAAGATGCAAGCGTGTAAACTGACCATCTATTTAAAAATATAGCTTAGTTGAGAAGGTGAAGTGAGGAAAATGCTTTCTGCCACACAAAGAGTAGGTCCGATGCTTGCACTGCTAGCTAACTGCTCATGTGATTTCCCTTTCTTTGCAATTTGCATAACCGTCCCAGGTATATTCTTATTTTGAACCATCACAAAATTAAGGTATACTCCCAAAAATAGAAAAAATGAAAAACACAAAAAAGATCAGACCATACGCCTCTTTGACCTAAATTCTGGTAATTTTAACTTACTTTCCGTGCCTCTTTTATTTCAAAAGAGATATTTGTAATCTCATACACATAACATACGTAATAATCCTTTTTAAAATTACCGGTTAAGCAATATAATTCGAAAAAAGTTTAAGAATGTATTGAATCACAGCGAATTATGATTGTAAGATTATAGTAAAACCTCCTCATTTGCACTTTTATTTTTCTCTTGAAACTTTAATGTTAATCATCGCTTCATAATTAAGTTTTGCATATTGTTGTATATATCTAGAAGATCAATAATTCGTACTGTTGATAAAGTTCAAGATTAACATGGAGTAATATATATTCATCGTGAAATAATTTCTAGTGAGAATTTTAAGTACTAAATTTTTGATACCTTGAATGAAAAAGAAAATAATATATCAAAACAAAATACTAGTCAGCAAATAATCAATTTGATTTTTTGTTGTTGTTAAATATGGAAAGCAGATGCTTGAATGATCAAAGACGACATATGCACAATGACAGAATAAAAATAATCCAACAATTTAAGAAATACATAGTAAATAAAATGGTTATCTTTGCAATTGAGTACTTAATGGTCATGGGATAAAACTACAATACCAGCTATTTATATAATTCGAATTATGAAATTATGATGATAATACTACCACCCTTGTATATACATTCCCATTATTTTTGACGCCAAACTAGGGTCAATGTTTTGTTGAAAGCTGTTTAATTAGTTCATTGAACGACCAAAGCAAAGTGCATTTTGTTAGTTTCGGAAAGCATCATACATCTTAGGCTGTACAACTTGTAAGTCTGCTTGTATCAATCTTGTAAGCCTTTGTAAGTTGTGAGTTTTGTAGGTCGTGACAGATCTATAATTTTAGACGCTCTAAGTTTAAAAATACAAAATGAAAACTCTACTTATATTTATTTTTCCTACAGATATATATAAAAAAGGTTCCATTTCAAAGTAGTGAATTATGCCGAATACGCAAACTCATTATTGGATTTGTCACTATAATTGTGGGGATCAAAAGATATCTCAAACTTGAAACATGGAGAATGATCAGTTGAAATGAATTAAAGCATCGAATTATGTTGGTGCATTCGTTTATGTTTCTTTTTGACATGTAAAGGGGTAATCAATAGGAAAAGCAGATCGAATCATAGTACCACGTATCACGCAAAAAATGATTAATTACTATTATTACCAAATTTATAATGTGAATAGGATTTCGAAGAAGACCATGTTGGAAGTAGTTGGAATATTAAAGAGTATAAGTAACAAAAGTAAATTACCTCAACTAATTAACCAATATACCCATATATAATTCTTTGATGCTTCCATTGCTAATTTTTTTTTTTTAGTTTTCCATTATGGGTTCAGTAGTACTTATATTGGGATTTCGACTAATTCATCAAATTTGAAGCGTGTAAAGCTCATTAAAATGGAAATAGTCACCACTTAAAAAAATTGTTATTTTCCTTAAGACTCAAATCCGAAAACTCTAACTAAGAATAAAAAAAATTATATTCATCTTACCACAATCTTCGAGGTTAAGAATAAAAGTTTGTGATTTGCGGCAATGGGAAGATGTTTATTGTGACTTTGCACGGTAAATTGCACAACTCTTTTCGTGTCCAAGACCTGATCACCTTATGCTTTCCCACATGGTCTCCAAGTTTAAATCCATTAAAAGTGTTATAAAATAAAAACAAATAAAATGTTAATCATTGCACAACCTCTCCCTTGATGCTACGTGTTACTTCTCCTTAACTAGTGTAATTAATAATTACTTTGTTTATTTCTCCTATCACGAATAATTCAATAGACACCTTATTTAATTAATTAAACAACTAATGTGTAGCGTGTTAGGTTCAGAGTATGTGTCTGATTAAAGAGAAGAGTACACTGCATGAAAACAAATGTATAACTTATTGAAAATGAGTTGTTTAATGCGTATAAAACATATGACAGGAATAATTGCTCGCATTAATTGCTTTAGAGTTTTGGCAATATTCATCTATTACATACTGTAATAAACCTCAAAAAGGGCAAGCAACAGTACTTAACACTTCCCTTTGAAAACCAAATTAATTTTAATTAGTTTTTTAATATTTAAACTAAATCAAAGCAAATATAGTACAAATTTATCGATTTAGTTACTTCTTTAGCTTATCTTTACTAATAACTTAAAAACCTAACATTAGTTAGAAATTTGATTACAATAAAGAAAAGAATATACTTTAATACAAGATATAAGGATGGTCTCATCATTTGAAGCTATTAGGATACAAACAAAATGAAGTCTAAGGCTCCTTAACTACACATTTTCTTGAAAAAATACACGACAAAGAAACTTATAATACCTAAAAGAAGCTAATCTGAATAAGGATGGAGCACATGAGCAGGTAAAAAGCAAATCGCTTTTGTCATCACCCTGTAGGTATATAAATTTTATTAGAATTAAATTCTTAAAATAATTACAATTATATTTTAAATTTAAGAGATATTAGTTCAAATAAATTTATTCGGCTAATATAATTGGATTAAATAAATAAGCTCAAATACATTGAACTAGCCCATTAATTGGGCTACACGTGATGAACCCACTTTATTAGGCCCAATATGTCATCTTCCTAGAGGCCCAGTTTAGCTCCACGTGTCAAATGATGTGGCATGCCATGTCAAACGGAAGAGCCGATAGGATCAAGCCACATGCCAAAATGACAACGCATGCCAAGTCAAATTAAATGGCCAATGAAACGGTGTCACATGTGCAAGTGACATGTTCTGGCCAATCAAATATGGCCTTGTTACGCTTCAATCTGATTAGTCGAAAAGAGTTGTTCTCATCACAATTCTTCCCTCCCGCAACTATAAATAAAAGTTTTCATAACTCAGAAGAGAGACCAGAAATCATAACAAGAAGCAAGAGAGAGCTTGTGGATCAAACACCACAAATTCCTCTACATGCTTCGACTTTCAAGCAATCAAGATCAAGTCCAAGAAATCAAGTTCAAGCTCAAGAACGAAGAACAAATTAAGTTTCAAGGAGTACGAGTTCAAATCAAAGTTCGTGCTAGTTGAATTAAAGATCATCGTTCGTGGAAACAAGCATAAATTTAAGATCAAGCTCAAAACCCCTTAAATTTATATTATTAGAAGAAGATTCAGTGGAATCATAAAGATTGTACACTCATATTACTTGAAATCAAATACTACAATTGTTACAATATTTTTCGGTCTCGATTATTTTTTTGACGCAATTTTATTGTCTACACACCCAAACATGAAATCCGCTCTCCCGAGATTCGAACTTATATATCCAATGGCTTATCCTTTGCAGATACTAAAAATATATAGAATTAAGCCACTGCATACCTTTTTTTTTGTTGAGAAACTGGAGATTTTATTGAAAATATACTAAAGTTGTTCCATACTATTACATGCCACACTGATGCCTTCTAAGGCATCACGGTTGCCAAGTTCGGCTAACATCCTATAGGCATCGTCTACAACAAATTTTAAAGAAGTGTCTTTGTTTTTGTCTGCCAACACCTTGGTCTCAACGAAAGGAGGAGGAACTTCCAAATAGACTAGATGATTCATGTTAGACTGATTGATTGCCTTCTTAGCC